TCCTGTCGGCTTCGGTCGGGAATGTACAGTGGTAGAGGAGCGCTTACCGATCGTTCTTACGTTCCGTTGTGCTTTACGGGCTCTTACTCAAGCCCAACCCGCAGCCGCACAGCGGCTTATAATATAGGCAGACTGTTATTACCGAACAAGACATACGAACAAGGCACGAACTAGAGTGTCCTCCCGAGGGCTTGAAGTTAAATCAAGGAAGTGGGTACTCCTCTTGGAACTTGGCGTGCGACAACTTGCACCTCGGGCATATGTATAAAATAATGGTGCCAAAAGTATCTCGTGTATAAAGCATCTGAGCCATTAATATGTGCCCGTTAGATCGGAGCGGTGTTTAAACATTATGTGTGAAGGCAGGTTACAGGGAAACAACAAAATTACCCCAAGTCAGTTTTAAAGACGATATTGTGCTTGATGCTTACGATTGAAGAGGACAGTTAGCCTCATGCAAAGTGGTACATATCTTTTTAAAATCATCTGTTGCTGCAAACCAGATATTTGCACTGTTCAAAGCGTTTAAGTGTCAGTTTTGCCCACATTTAAAACGTCTGTTTCTTAGCCATTTACTACACGATATACATATGAGATATAGACACATATATGACACATTGTAAATATTACATTTCTTTAGTTAGGAATAAAAGGACCCAACTTAAAGGGCACGCTTAAGCAGGCGACTCTAGTCCTTACTAATCAGAAACTCGTCTAAGCGGAGTTACAGTCATTGATATCCCCCCTTAACCTCGGACTAGACGAGCCCAAAATCAAAATGTAATCAAATTTAGGCTCACATCGTTCGCGAATTATAGCCTTGGTTATTCAACTCAGTCCTTTTGATACCAATCTAAATTATGCCGTGTTAATGCGGCATAAATTCCATTTTTTAATCTCTGCGGACGTTTTAAGGCTAAACACGTTTCCGTAAACAAACATTTAAGTATTCTCTGCCACTCTTAAGGTTGTTTTTTTCAGAAGGTTCTGATGGAGAAGAATAATGGTCTTGTTGTTTTAAATAATATCTGTCGCCAATTTAATGGCCACTTGGGCTTTTGTCAGTTCTATAAAGTTTACAATAAACATGCGAATCCTTTTATGTTTTTTTCGGAAATGTCCACCTACCAGTTTCCGCTTACATTCTCAACAACGCAAATATTTCCCCTATTTACCTGCCATAGTTATTGGAATTATTAAAACCTAAATAGATCGTTTTGTCGTCTTTTAATTGTCGGCTTTGTCAAATTATTTATCCAGAAAAAACTTTTATATGGACTTTCGGGTTTCGTATAGAATGTGCAGGGGCGTAGCTTCCGCTAGCACAAAAACAAATTCCGGCAACATTGACAGGTCTTGCAAATATCGGCAAAGGAAAATATTTTGCATCTTCATCAGCAAATGTTTGCAAATTAACAGTAGTCCAGATAGATTTTTAGAAAGTATTTTTGCAAACAGCATGTAAAGCATATCGGGCCTCAGTAGAAGGGGTGAGAAGCGCTTCTACTTGTTTTGTGTCTACGATGAAGCACAGGAATCAGCATTTGACAGACAGATTCATTCTTCGAAAGACACCAATCATCTTGCATAAAAAATATTCGGTTAGGTTTGCTCCTGCGGCCACACCTGAGGGATGCCACATGGTCAGCTTTCCAAAAAAATATCAGTGGATGCGGGTAAGCTAACTCTACAAATATCAGCTGTTTTCACCTTCCCTTCAAGTTTAATCCAACTTGTGACTGTACCACGCGGGGAGGGGTGCATGCGTGTCAGCCTCAGGTATCAGTTTACACGCGCTTCCCTGCTCAAGAGGAGAACCATTCTCGCGCTCTATTTATTATCTCAGTCCAGCCAGTGACCAGGTAAGCTCGCTAATGGAATTATTCAGACGATGTGGAACTCCGTCGGTTCCGCTACAGTGACCATGCACTGCACATTATTACGCGGTTCCCTCCGTGGCCTTCCAGTTGTGATTGCTCCCTCATCTTCTTAATCCAGCGAGAGGCTGTGTCGGGGGGAGTCTGCACACACCACCTGAACTCGCTTCCCTGCGCGTCTTTTGAGCTTAGCTTGCGCTATTTTTCTCTACCTAATTCAGCAAGTGGCCAAGTAAGGTTTATTACCTAATATTATTTTAGTAAGCTTACCATACGGTATGACTCAGATGGGGCTGCAGAACCAAACCTCGCCAAACACGTGCGCAGTGCTGAATCAAATATGCAAGAACAACTTGTTTCACTTGGGCATGATACGTTTACTTTAAAAATGAAGTCGTTTTAAACGGAAGACACTGCATCTTAGAAGACCACAGCTCCCATTAATTATACGTCATACTGTCGCGCAAAAACTGCCGATTTGACGCGGCAATTTCAGTTTCAAAAAGGAAGAAAATGGCTGACGATTTCTCAGCAAACAGGGCCGATTGCAAACCTAGTCCTTTATGATCTTCGCCATTGTGTTTACTGCTTAACATACACTTGGTACAGATTCTCGCCTGTAAATATTAATACGCCCCTTCACTGCAAAGTATCTTCTCAGACCAAGTGTAATCCCACTGTTTGGCAATATGTGAGTTTTACTCCGCGTCGGTGGCGTCTCCGATAGCATGGGGACCTTCACCTATTTCCCCTCGTGAAATCCAGTTTTGCGGACCAATCCGCTTTATTAGCACCCGTAAAGCTTAAGTAGGGGATGTGGAACGAAGCAACACATGAACTGCTTAGATTCATTTTAAAAATGTGTATTATGTCGGCGTCCTGCATGGTACTGTCCAGTATTTTTTGCAAAAATATTTTTAACTTCCATAAAAATAAACGGAGACCGAAAACTTCCCATGCAATATTAACCATTCTCTTTCTGGACTGCCGTCCGTTCGCGGGCTGTACTTTTTTTCTCCACGGTCATCTAAAACATCCAAAACACCACTATCACCTCTATGTACTTAATCAGGCGTTTTCGGTCCTCGTAGTCCGGTCCGTTTTGTATCTTTCCTTAACAATTCCTACAAATTTGCATTAAGTAGAGGTATTATTCATCTTGTTGAAACTAAGGTCATTAAAAAGAGAGCGAGCCTATGGCCAAGAAACAATCTTTATTCGTCACTGTCATATAGACCTTGTTAAGGACAACATAATTCCCACTGCACAGCAATGCCTTTGCTGGATTTGCCCATTTCTTGCGGTACTCTTTTGAAAGTCCGCCTTTTGTCGAGTGATCGGGTCATAGGTGGCAATTCCAGAAGATGTAGAGACTTAGGTTTGTTCATGGTCGACGTCTTCAATACTGCAAACGATAACTGGTGCTCTTATATCATTAGAGATATGTCCGGTGCGGGTCTTTTCCAAATTCACAAAGCGTATTTTGAGTACAACTTTGCAATATAATGTAATTCTTAATGGTTCAGGGTATTATTCTCAGTATCCTTAGATAAGAGTTAAGATTTTAGTCTTCGGCAGTCTCAGTATTTAAGAGTAGATATGTCCGTCTGGTCGACCGACGTTGCTAAGGATTCCTTGTTTTATTTCCGAGAAAAATTATCCACGAACTCAACAGAGACCGTCTCAGGAACGGTCTAAAAGTTGGCATGAATATTTAAGCTCAAGTATATCAACTACTGTGAAATAACCGCGCAATTCCCACAAACCGCCAACAGGCAGTCAGTAGTATGCAATTGCGTAACCATTTTCCGTATCGAAAAGCCACTGCGTGTTTTGTCATTATGGTAAATAATTACACAGTTGCTGACGATGGGTAAAGTTTTCTCCTTGCCCGGTTGATATTAGGGAGGTAGCATGCGTTCGACTTAGTTTAGAGTGGAAGTGGACTTGCGCAGCATCTACCGCACTCCGTCCTCCTTCCTCGTCTGTGCCCCGTGTTATGATCAATTCAAGAAGACCAGGGGTGGGAGTGGGCGCGGGGGGCTGGCACGCCCGCAGCCGCTTCTAGACTTGCCGCCAAAGACATGCGCATAGGGTCTGTAACATTATTTCCAAAGACAAGATATACGGGGAAAAGGTTTCCGGGGTCACAAACATTGATAACCTCATCAACTCTCCAAACCCGTCATTCAGACGCTTGGAACGTGTGGCATCAATACAGCAATTCCGTGCTTCAGCAGTAGTTTCCACGATCTAATAATCGAAAACAAACAGATACATCACGTCGCTAACATATATTTTAGTCGACACTCCTATTTTATCGCAATTGCTCCTTCGCCATCGTCGGATCCATTCCCTTTGTTTGTTTGTTGTTCAAATTCCCCGAAAGTCTGTTTGTTAGAGCTATTGAGATATGACCAAGTTAATCAATGTGGCCTTGCGATTGTATAATGTGCTGTAACTTTGCATACGAAGAAATTACGTTTTTCATCCGCATAATTTGCCACTCACACTTTATTTTGAGAATGTCTCAGTTTCACAAGCTTATTGTTTATACTGATTTGCAAGCTTTGCTCTGTTTAGTCGACGTGAATGTTTGTCCTGTGAAAGCTGTTCAGCGCTTTTCACAATCTCAGAGTCGAAGTTTTTACATTCTCTTCTCAGCGTCTTCTGTGTATTTTATTTTTTTCTATGCCAAATGTGGTTTGTTGTTTAATATCTCCTGCGTTTTTGCATGGAAATATACAAAAACATTAAAATTGGGGTTTTAAGCGCAGTTCTGCTTGTTCATATTTGTGTTGGAGTCTAACCCAATCAGGCGTTAGTATCTCCTCATGCAGGGTGATTGGTTGATTAGCGGCCGCTATGACTGTTCTTAGCTATCCAGCTTCCGAATGATCCTGAGATGGAACTCCGTCTGTCAGTAGTAAATCGAATTGGCAACAACTCAGCATACACTACGGACGTTCAAAGTCTCTTAGCAACGATATTTTGTGAAAAGCCGATAAACATTTACTGTCTAAATCTAAAACTAATCCGTGGTCATCATTTAACTCTGAGGCACTTTTTTGTCAAAACATTTATTTTTTAGCCTATCAAACTGCAGTTCATATATCTGCTTATATGTTATTGTGCTCCTCCTCCTCCTCCTCCTCTTCCGCCTCCTCATCCGCCTCCTCCACCACCACCACCACCACCACCCAACGGCGGCCGCTCAGGCAGCCGTCTCGCACATCACTAACCGCGACACAAAAACCGGCACCACCCCCGGCTCTCCCGACTCCAGCAATGAGAATCAGGACTACACCTGCCCTCACTGCGATCGCACCTTCACCTCACGTATCGGCCTGGTCGGTCACTTGTGAATTCATCACACAGAGACCGGTGAATCAGTGCCTGGAGCACCAACCTACACCCACCGCACTCGCCTCCACTGCTCACACTGCCCTCGCACCTTCATGCATCGCATGGGTCTATTCGGCCACATGCGCATGCAAGAGAGCGGAAATAACCACATTTCCGACACGCCAACCACGCCCATCATGCCCAGCACCACCCTCGCACCGTCCATCTGCGCCACCACCAACGCCTCCTTTGGAGCTGATTTTGACACCGCCGACTTCACATGCCCACACTGTCCACGCAAATTCACCTCACGCATCGGCCTGGTCGGTCGCTTGCGAATCCATCGCACAGAGACCGGAGAACCAGTGCCTGGAGCACCAACCTACACCCACCAAGCTCGTCTCAACTGCCTACACTGTCCTCGTTCTTTCAGGCACCGCATGGGCCTATTCTGCCAAATGCGCATCCACGACGACCTGCGGTAGACAGCCGCCGGCTACACCACACATCCTCACACTTCCTACCCTCCCCCACCATCACCAACACACATCAACACTCACCCACCGCATGCACCAACTGCCACCTTCCACGCAAGTGGGAAGTGTGCATCTTGACTCCGTCCCCACGCGGCTTCGACTGCATGGGTCATTTGAGTCCGAGACTATCCCGACACTTCAAGTGTCGTGGATAGGATGGTTGCTGATTGACGTCCGCTCTCGGTTCACGCAGTTCGTCGCGTTGTGTGTGTGTGTGCTGTGTGGAGTGGCGGACTGGTGGGCTGGGAACGGGCTGAAGCAGCACCTTCCACTGCCCTCTCACGCAAGTGAGAGACACGCCGTTCAACCCCGTTGTGTGAAATCCTGGTGTTTTTGTGTGTATAGGGGGGCCAAGTCGTGCTGTGGCGCGCGCAGTCACGGTCAGTCGACCGTGGCAGCCACCGCGCCCGTTCCCCACTCCAGTTTGCCGACCGGCTAGGACGGCGGCTGGGGTGTGGGAATAGGAATGGAGAGTGAGGTCGACGACTCAGCACACTTTCCTCACTATAATCAATCTGACGCGCTTGAAGCTATCACGGTGCGCTAAAAGCCGTGGCTTGGAAGGTTGCCAACTGACGGGGTAACTTGGTCCTCCTCCTTAACTGAAGGCGGTCTGAGAGTCTGGCTGCAATGGCTTCTGTGTAATGTGGCCTTATGGCACTCTCACCACAGTGTGGGATCCGAGCCAGGCGTTGGCGGCACGCCCAGGTGCGTTTTCGGCTGTGCCAGACTCCAGATCTCTGTTGTTGGTTGAAATCCTGGTCATTTGTTGTGTGGACCAGGGGGTGTGGTGGAACGCCAAAGTGAGGATCCGTCCGAGCCATCCACCTGCGGCCTCCGTCGCCTCTGGTCTTCTTGACTCTGTCTTGACACTGGGCCCAGGCGGTGGAGGAGGAGACAGTGCAGGCAGATACAGCGCAAGTCTACTGGCACTATAAACCCCTGCGCAAGTCACCGTCCTGCTCCACAATGCAGTCTGTGGGGCACACGGTGGACATAATCGAAATCGATGGTCGAACTGTCAATTATTGTGCTGCTATTGCGATGCGCCTTTAAACTGGAGAACACAGCAATCCACCATCTTCAGTATAAGCTAAATAATGCGTAAGTCACCGTGTCTGCTGCACCTTGCTGTGTAGCACACGGTGGAAATCGTCGGCAACGACGGCCTAACTGTCAAACACCTTTAGATCAACAGATTTCACTGCGAGAAGCTCAAAAATGATTTTTTTACTCTCCCGACCTTGCAACTGAGTTCGGGAGATTTGCTCACAGGGATTTACACAAAGTCCCACCGTTACTGTAAGGACATAACGTACTGTCCCCCCTAAAGGAAGTTCGCAAATTTGTGTGGCGGTTAAATGGACAGTTGGTGGACGTCCGGGCTTCCAGCAAATACACTGATACCTAATCACTGCCCTGGTTCACACGTCTAACGGGGTCAAAATTGAAGACGTGCCACTCACAATTGATGTTTGATGTTTGCAGTTTCTCCAAACCCATCTTTGCATTATACAGTTGAACTGAATGAACTCTATGCACCCATCGTAAGGAGCTGAAGATCACGCACCCGAATAGATGGGAAAACATTGTTTGGTAGTTTTTGTTATAGCTAATCGAGAGCTCCAGTTTCCCCTATAAGAGTCACTAAGCCAGCTATCACGTAATACCATAGAAGACGAAAATCTCTTTGCAACAAACCATCATTAGCGATAGGTCTGTACAGGCGCGTGTACAGTAGGTGAATTGATGAAATGTCAACCGAAATTCTGAAATGCGTTTTCGTTTCCATATGATTAATTAAGTATGGTTGTAGTCAGCCTGCAACATAATTCTTCAATAACTGATCTACCTTTGGCTGCCGGATTTCGACTACACTTTCCTCCGGCTGCATGCAAAAACCATACTCTGTGAAAAATGGCTACATAGGTAGCATGACATTTTCTCAGAGATTTTTAATGCCCTTAAAAGTCCAGTTATATTTCATGGAAAACATGCATAAAAATATTCATTACTTTGCTGATCAAAAGATGATTACGCCTTCTTCTAGTTTTATACTTGAAGGAGGGACATAATTCTGTTTTAAAAAATGTTTCCAATTCCCAAACAATTCTGAACCCGCTCTACAGTCAAACGTGGATTCAGGGTTTCCAAACTACAAGCCGTATATTTTCCGGGTACGGAAAACCACCCATTCTTCTATGGTAATAAAGGGGAACCATACAGGTTTTATACATTTTGGCAGTGGATTTGATCCATATTGTTAACTTTGCAAGCCATATTGGTAAATGCAATGATACGAAGATTTATGAACGGCCATTTCACGGTAGTAAAAATCGCACAATCAGAAACGTTTTTAAAACCGAATTATGTCACTCCTTCGATTATGAGATTGGAAGTAGAGCCAATTTTCTGCCGAATGAGCGAAAGAATGAATATTTTTATGCATGCTTTCCATAAGGCACTAATTAATTGTTAAGAGCATTTAAAATCACTGAGAAAATGTCATGCTACTTAAGTAGTCGGTTTTTGTAGAGTGTGGCTTTTGCATGAAGCTGGAGGGAATTCCATTTAAAAGCCGGCAGCCAAAGGTAAACAAATCATTATAGAATTATGTCGCAGACTGACTAGTTTTACAACCCTACTTAATTAATCCTGTGGAAACGAAAACGCATTTAGGAATTTCCAGCATCTTCAGTGTAAGCTAAATCATGCGTAAGTCACCGTGTCTGCTGCACCTTGCTGTGTAGAACACGGCGGACATCATCGAAATCGATGGTCGAACTGTCAATTATTGTGCTGCTATTGCGATGCGCTTTTAAACTGGAGAACACAGCAATCCAGCATCTTCAAACTTGAAGCATAATAATTAATTAGATGAAAATGCTTTTCTTTTCTCTGACGTTGCATTATTTTAGATGGGACTGCTAGAAGCACAAAACGCAAAATTATCGAATCTTCGAAACGTCTTAAATTTAATTTGCGTCTCCAATCTGCGCATATGTTTATTTAAACCACGAAAATCACTATGTTAGCATTTGAATGCGCAGGATTTTCTCCAAACACAAAAGTCAGAAGTCATTTTACGATATGTCAATCGAGAGTAAACGATTTAGTCAGGGAGAAATTGCCTCGAAGATTGCTCCGACCCATTTTCATGATTGTTACAGAAATTCAAATTTAAACAGACAGCACTAGCAGATATTGCGGACACTGGTAAAATAATCACCGACCAAATTGTTTAGAACCTTTAAATTAATGCTACTCGTAACGGATGTTCTATAGGAAATTTCTGCAGCAGCCAACATACAGTAATTTGCATTGAACTAGTACATTCAGCGATGGCTTCACTTTGAGCAGTTCTTTTACTCTAACTCTTTATTAAAAAATGAGCAAACTCAGATAATAATGGAAAACTTAAACATAAACATTATTAACAAGGCGTCGCACTCCATTTTTCAGTTAACCTTATTAGCATTTGTGATACAAAGTGAAATGCAAGTAAATGTCCTGAACAGCATACCACAAAATATTTAAAAATGGTGAAATCAAGGCTTTTTCACATGTCGTTTAGTTTGTCTTTCATTGATAACCTCCGTCCTGCAGCTTTAATTTTTTTGAGTGGATCGTTTATCGCATTTTTTGTAGCGAACCTTAACGACCGTAGTGCACGTAATTGGTCAGGAATGCGTGCAGCGTTCGATAAATATATTATTAGCTTATGCCGTTACAAAATACCTTCTCATACGAAGAACTCTCAAGTTATTTTACCTGCAAAACAGCTTCAGTTTTAAGCAAAACTTAACGGTTTCAGAGGCTTAGACATTTGCCTCCGCTAGAGCTTCTTGTAAACCATAGGTGCGCATTTGCCATACCACAGGATAGAAATTCAATTAAGTGAGCTTAAAACATGCATCCCATATCAAATTTAAACTTAATTGATGTCCACCTAGAGAGGATGGCGCAGAATACGAATAGGCATGTTATTCTAAAGCGAAAAAATTAATTCGTTTATTTTAATAGTTTTCGGTCTTAAGACACAGAACTTATGCAACAGGGAAACATTACATTTTGACCCAACTGTGGAAACTTCGGCGCCTCAGTGGGATTTGAACCCGCGCAGAAAGTTGAAGGCTTTAGTACAGTCAACGCTCTAATTATTTGGGCTACCAGGCCCTGCCGGACGAAGGCAGTTTAGTCACATTTGGGTCAAGTTACCCGCCCAACCTACTGCGACATCTGGAATCCACCAACTCTAAAACGGAAAGCTGACTACTCAAGCAGGATTCCTCTAAGTACTCCACATAGAATCCCTCAGATGACTACCAGGCTCAGGTAGTTCATAGACTTTTTGGAAGATTTTGAATAATTCCTATTGACCCAATTTTTACAGTTGGGTCAATATGAACTATTCGAATATTCGAAATCTGTCAAAATATATATAAAAGAAAAGATTTGTTTTACAGCATTACGTAATTTCCTGGCATATGCAAATATTCGCAAGCACCCTTAGAAAGGTCTAACAACAAATACCGATTAAAATTTTGAGAATATGGCAAGGCGATTTGTGCGACCTAAATTTCAGCAATCTATAAACTTAAAACATTTTAAAAGATTGCAATATTCAGCTGATTAACCTGAGCGCAGAATGTTGAAAAAAAATCCACATAGATAATTAAAAATATTGCAACCTTAAAAAGAGCATTCTTACAGCATAAATGGACTCAGCCGTAGTCAGAAATGCCCACCTGAGCACAGAATAATCCAAATTTTTCGTGGCTTTGCTTTTAAAGCAAATAATAAAGTTGGTCGCTCGTTGATGAAGTGTGCTTGCAAAGCAGACTCTAAAGGCGTGGCTTACCACAAAAAGCCTTCTATTCAATCAAGAAAGCATTTTTGTAGGATTGTGTTGCCAAGATTTACTTTTTTGCGTTTCTAGTACAATAGTACGACGAAAGGGTACTTCTGCACAAAAAGAGCGACCTTCAGCCTGAATGGTTTTATTTTCAGTCTTGTTGGAGCAATTAATTATATAGAATCCATTTTATTCGATGTACTAAAGACATGAAAAAACACAAAAGATTCAGTACTGGTTTAAGGACGCCTTGAGGCTCACTGAAGGGAGCCTTGGCTAAAAAACTTGCATGTACTTTATGATGGAGTGCTGTGATCTCGTTTCTAAGTTGCACTTTATTTTATGACCTTTTAATTGTCTTTTTAAGTACAATTTTGCGAGCGTCTTTACTTATGTACTTAAAAGAAGCCTTTGTGGTTCGTTTATGTGAATCACAAAACTTCCTAATTATCAAAATTTCGCCGAAATTCATGCAGTAAAATGGATCGCACACTGCCTTTTGTGTTTTTTGTTAAGAAATACTAAATCTGAGTGCTGTTTGAAAGGATTCTTAGACTCTGCTGGATTTAAGCTGTTTCATGCTT